GCAGTTCAGCCGATGAACTTTTTATCGGTTATACGTACAGCATTTGCAGTTGTGAGAGAAGGTCTCCGATTTCAAGCAGTTCGTCTCGGACATTTTTCGTAGATTTGATTTTTAACTAGACGAGTGGAAAATTAAAGTTAAATTAAATTGGGAGCACAAATTTGAATGACAACGTTGCTTAGAGGCATAGGAAGGAAGGAGGCGGAAAGATTGGCCGGAGGTAGGGGGCATGAAATAATTAAAAACGAACACGCTGCACTCATGCGTAGCTTCATAGGTTCGGAACTTGGGCACTTGGGCAGGGAGCCACTCACTCGTAAAATAGGTACACATCAGCCTTGTCCTCTTGAGTCAAGCCTCAAAGCTGCCCTCGGATCGAGACCGCTCCAAAAAAAACCGTTCTTCTTAGGACCACTCTCCCGTGCTTTCTCTACCGGCTAATAACACAAATGAGGAGGAATGCAGCGTTACATACGGGTAAGAAACCTTATCGGTTCATGAAGGGCCGCTGAAGACGAAATCGAAATTTTCGATCATTTGAATAGGAATCGAATTTCAAAGAACGGAGGACCCTTCACACTTTCAATCGAATTCAATCGTTTAAGAAAATTTTAGGACTGAAGCAGGACTTACTAGGTGATTAACTGAATTTAATGAAAGCTAAAACAAAATTAAACGATCACAGATGGGAAAATATTCCTAGATATTTATTGTATTTGTTTTCAGCTGGAAAAAGAAAAAAAATTTGCAGGTTGGGACTATGAAGGCACTTGGATTTCTTTTAATTGATTTGAAGGAGGGTATGGATTAAAATAAAAACGTGAACTCCGGCAACTCCGTTATTTGAGCGACAAACCCGTTAGTCGATCGACAAACCCGTGAATCAATCGAACCACGTCGATCAGTTCACGTTCCTATTTTTCGATAGATTCATGCCAATCGAATCGACACCAGTTTTTTAATAATTTGTCAATCGAATCGAGGTCGATTGATTCACATTTTTATTTTTCTATCGATTCACGTCGATTGAATCCATACCCTCCATTTTTATACCACCAAAATTATTATGCTTAAAATTCATTTCAAGAAATAAGATGTGACTTCGGCAACGCCCTTTTTTCACCGAGGCTCTACATCACACTGGCAGGAATTTAAATTTTCATTTCTCCTGCCTGAAAAATAGTACGCCAGCCTTAAAAAAAGTCAACTTATGCGACAATACGCATATATGGTAACTGGGACTGTGCGTCGGCTTGTCCCCGACTTGAACCCGGAACCTAGGAATTGAAGGTCTCCCCTCGCAAAAGCACGTTGCACACCATGCAAAACGGGTTCTAGCCCGTACGCGTATTCAGAAAAAAAAGTTCAAAAGTTCGTGCGAAAACGAGGTCAACCCGCGACTCGCAGGATAGTAATTTCTCATATACACACACCAACAATACTGCCATACTAAGGAATAACACCGTATGAACATTCGAATGTTGCCAAATTTCCTCCTATAAAATGTCTACTTGTGAGGAAAGTCATTCATATTTTCCCTTGGAATTTTCAGGATCTTAGGACGAAATTGCGAACAACATTTACGATAAAATTGGCAAAAGAATATTCATGAACTTACAAAGAAATTTGTGTCTTATCAAGGGAGATTTGGCAACGCCTGAAGGCTCATACGGCGTTTTTCCTAAGCATGGCAGAATAAATGGGCATCGCGATACATGGACGGAGTCAAAGCAATAAAGTACATCAAAATGAACCTCGGTGTTCTCATGGTTCAAGATATTGTGTATGGATACAGTTAAACTTCTTTTCGCTTAACGATGTCACCGCAAGATGACGCAGCACAAGTGAGGGGAGCTTAAGTGATACCTTCATCTGAGAATATTTACGGCGTGTTTCAGGCACGATAACCCGAATGCACTGATGTAGATATTCGTCACGCGGGACCGCAAACGGTAGCGTACAAATGACCGAGTGACACTTGGACCAACGCTTGTGCTGGGTAAGAACCACGTAAGTTCCATGACAATTCTACCTAGATCTGTGTTTTTTGCTTGGGAAGACAGTATACTCTAGCGTCTAACGCGCTGCTCATTAACACGAAGATGAATGGTCATGGTGTGGCCAAGCTGCACCAACAGGGTTGTCATTGTCACTCTATCCATTTGGTCATTAGAATACTGCAATTCGCGGTCTGTTGTATTTTCGTCCTCACTGACTTTATCTTCTTTTCAAATTCGACGGAGCGATTATCATTTTTGAAGAGATACAGTTGACCAAGTTTAAAAGGCGATGATATAGCCGCATGATTAGCTGTAGGTTGTAGGTTCATAAAATTTAATGAGAAATACCCCGCCAAAATAGTGTGCACTGGACATGGCTGCTTTCTTGTTTTGGCGTTGAAGTTACCAGGATTACTGATTGCGGGCTATACATTGGCAAATGATGAGGAACCATCCAGGAATGTCAATATGGAGTTAAATGGACATCGCTACTTTCTTGCTCTGGCGTTTAAGTCACCAGGGTTACCGGTTGCGGGTTGTGTACATAAGCAAAATTTAATGAGAAATATCTGAAACTGCGAATGATGAGCGCCAATATAGTCATAGCATTCAATGGATATGGCTACTCTCTTGTCCTGGCGTTAAAGTCACCAGTGTTCGTGGTTGGTTGCATGCAGTTTATAAATTGGCAAAAAATGAGAGCTATCTAGGAGGGACTACAGACGATGAAAGCCAATATAAAATTTCACGAACATCGCTACTTTCTTGCTGTGGCGTTGAATTCAAAAGGGTTACCGGTTGCGGGTGATTCACGAAGTGACATAATTGATCATGTAACTGTTTAGTTTGTCAAACCGAGGTCCTGATTCATGTACTTGTATATTATGTTTGTGTAACTTAAGCTTCCAGACCAAAACCGAACTGAACAAATATCGTCGTTTCCCTCACGAGAGAACATAACTACATTTTAATGTTGCCAAATGTCCCCTCGCAAATTTCATTTTCACCAAGAGAACCTTTGAGGTCCTTACCTGAAAATCTCATTGATTTTTCTATTGATCTCATGATAAAGTCCGACAAATTTTCATCTATAATTGCGCTGATACATTCCGTGAAAAATTGAATTATTTGAGTCAATTTTGCAACCTTGGAGTAGAATTAAGTTCCTTCGTCTGGAATAAGACAATATTTCGGTTGGGTACATGAACCGAACTTCCAGTTTCATCAACCAAGACTCCAGTTTGACAAATTGAAAAGAAATAGTACAGGAATAGGTTGATAAAAGATGGTGGGAATAGTACAGTCGATGCAAAAGAGATAGCGAATGAGGTGAACTTTCCTTCTCCTCATTCTAGGTACGATACAGTACAAGCTGCGAATATGACTGCTCATCGAAACAGGGTGAAAAATGGCTGCGTCAAGTAATGACTAACAACCTCCCCTGCCCCTTTACCCTCGAAAAAATTGCTTTAATGATCCACGACCGGCTTTGACAAGTACTTCCCGTGTTTTTTCCCTTCCCCTTTCACAATGCATGGTCTTAAATTGGAGCACATCAGTCATTCGGTCTTGGCACAGTTGATGAGCAGTTAACTACCACCGCTTCATGATAAGAACTCTAACGGGTCTATATGCCATGTTGGGTCGAACAGGTGATTGCCGTTGCGCCGCGCAGTTATTCATGCAAAAATTGTTCTCCCTATTTTTAGTCCGTCCGAAATTTGGAACTACTAACTGACAGACACGGACAGCTATCCACTTAGGTAAAAAGGCGCTAGTGCCCTTAAGCTTTAAGTCCGTAGATACGATGAACTCGCGGAATTTTCGAAGCGACAGTTCTTGAAATGATAGTCGAAGATTTAAAATACCTTTTAACGCGACGTTGTACAATTTTCTGATACGGCATGCAAATATCTTAAAACTGTGTCTTAATCTTCACTTTGTTTTCATGGAGAGCTCTCTCATAAAATGACAATGTCGGTCAGGATTTTAAGATTTTCATACTTTCCATCAACTTTAATAAGTTATTCGCAAGGCTCGCAGCATATTACTGAGAGGACCATACAAATTGAAGAGATTATATTGAGGTCCGTAATCGAAACGAAAACAAATTGGACTCTATCATTAAAGCTGATTGACATTGGAAGCAAGTACACAAAAATCACGGTAGAGAACATTTTTTGCTAAGTTACAAGTTTTACTAAAAAATTGTTGGCAAAAACGGATTCATTATACTTAAGAGCACGCCTCATAGCTGTTTGTTTATTTCCAAAAATTGTATTTACTAAAACGTGACCTGAAAGCTGAAAATGTGATAACGCAAAAATTAAACGCTTTTAACAATAAAGGCAACCTGTTGCGTCTTCACTTTTCCTGCATTTATTTTGTGATTTACGAAGTAAAATTTTTGGAACATAAGCTGAAATGTGCCTCTACGTGCAACAGGTAGATCCCAAAATATCCTCTTGTTTTCCCCCAAAAAATTTAAAAAAAAGAACCAAAATATAAGAAAAAGCTGATATCTCAATGTTTGTTTACATCCGGTGTGGATTCACTCAAAATAATTCCTTTTCGTCGTTGAAACCCTTTAAAAAAAGGTAATATTCATCTAATATACGTGCAATTTTATTGGCCTAATTAATACGACGGTATTGAGCAGACACGAAGCGACAGACTTAATTCCATTCATTGGATCGCTCGTTAACAAACCCATGGTTTCCACCCCCCCCAAAAAAAAAAAAAACTTTGAAAAAGAATCAAAATATAAGAAAAAGCTGATATTTCAATGTTTGTTTACATCCGGTGTGGATCCACTCGAAATACTTCCTTTTTGTCGTTGAAACCCTAAGAAAAAAGGTAATAGGTATCTGTCCAATATAGTACGTGCAATTTTATTGGCCTCGACGTTATTGAGCAGATACGAAGGGACAAACTTAATTTCCTTCATTGGATCGCTCGTTAACCAAAAACCACCCCAATAAATTCTTCATGGACACTTACAATTGATGATATTTTTCCGGTGAGCTGCCCACAAGGTTAATCCAAAATCCGATCGTTAATCCATCTCATCGGGAAACTCACCACTCGTCACATACTTAAAAATCACCCGAAACGAAACCCCTCACCGCGGAACTCCCACACTACATCGCACAACACCACTGATAAGCGAGGGGTAGGTAAACCGCGCGAAACACTGATAAGCCACCACTGATAACACCGAGAGCGGGAGGATGCTAACGGTCGAGCGTGCGAAAAAAGCGAAAAGGCGAAGGACGAGGACGAGGGGGAAACAAAACACCAAACACCGGTCGTAAAAAAGAACCGTTGAGAGCGGCCGCGAAGAATGCCGGACCGGATCGCGCGAGGAATGAGACCGCTGGCACCGGAGGCGGAAACTAAACTGAACTGAGAACTGACAAAGCCCGAGCCGCGGCTCAGCGCTCCTGCTCCGAATTGCCCCGAAAGGAGGGGGCGCACCCGCTCCGGCACCCCCCCCCCCCCCCNTCGGCGCGGCGGCCGGGGCAGGTAGGGATACTCGGATTCCGCTCTTACTTTTTTGTCGGATCCGAGGATTTCTTTCTGCTCATCCCGTGAGCCCGCGAGCCCGCGAGCGTGACGCTCCGATTGACTCCGTGGAATTCGTGGCCGCATATCGCACACCTGTTCCCACCATGGGGTACAGGTGGACCTGGACCGCCTAGGCGCGGCGTGTGCGCTTTCGGAAGGGGATGGGGGGGGGGGGTTAAATGTCTCCGTTGATTGGATTTTGGCCTAGTTCGTGATTTCGATCTTGCACGGTAAAAACTGAATTGCTGATTTTTTTTTTTTTTTTTTTTTTTCTTTTATTCATAGAAAATTGTATATCGACGGTGAAACTACCAAACCACGTATCTCGGTTTGCGACGTCGCAGACTCCCTGTCATACTTTATTTTTTAAATGAAAAACTACTTAACATCCAGTCTTGAAAATTTCTGTGATTTTTCCTCTTTGTGCGGAGAAAATTCCGTGAAAATCTCAAGGAATGATATTGATTTGGTCTACTTCAAAAAAATAAAATGTGAGCGTAGATTTTTAAACACCGCAAACGAGATACGTGGTTTGGTAGTTTCACCGTCGATACATAACATTCAGTATACAAATATTCAAAAAAGAAAAGTTGCACTTGAGAACTCAAGTATGTGAATAGCTAAATAATGAGAGATTAATCATATCTGAATCATAAAATCAATAGAGAGTATAAAATCATAAACATTTCGGTCCGTATGAAGTCTCAAGTCTAATAAATTGATGGGTTAATTAGTCAATACGAATAATTATTCGTAATATTAACCTAACTATGAATTGCTGATTTAACAAGTAAATTGCTGGAAAAAAAAAGTGGCTGCGATATTTGAACGTGGATTTCGCAACACAAAAATGCTACTTTAGCCACTATTTTGAATTTTTTTAATTTTATGAACATAAGCAATTAACCAGTCGTTGCTTTACCATACATTATTTCTAACTTATGATAATTGTATATGTTTCCTCTGATTGGAAGTTAAAATAAATAAAACTCTTTAAAAAAAAAAGAAAAAAAAACAACCACTATTGTGAGCTAATTTATCCACGGGGGTGGTTAAAGTAGCATTTGTTTGTTGTGAAATCTACGTTGAAATATTGGAGTCACTTTTTTTAGCAATTTAATTATTAAATCAGCAGTTTAATTTTTTCCGTGTGCGGAATGCTACGTGCGATCAGTGTTGCGGAAATGGAAGGGTGCAGGAATGTGGATTTTTTGGGGGATTATTGCCTAAAAATCGAAAAATGCGAATCGATTAGAGTGTAGAAATCAAATTTTCTGGACATCGATTCGAAAAGAACAATTTTCTCTGTCTCTGCTAAAAAAATCAATGCATAGGATAGAATTCTCTGTGCCGAATTTCAATTTGCTGATGAGTGAAATTATATTTTCCATGAAATTTCGGTGATTTTTCGCGGGTGAAAAAATCATCACAAAATAGAAAATATAATGTCTGTAGTACAGACTTGAGCCTTTAAGAAAAGCTTAGCAGTAAAAGAAAATCGGAAATATCGCAAAATTCGATTCGGTCGGGAAATTGGGGTACAAAATCGATTCGATATAATCGATTGAAAATCCGCATCCCTCGCTGAGCATTAAATTAGCAACAAGATTGTAAGAGAGTTCCTGTAAATCAGAGTTATATCTGTAATGTCTCTAAAATATTTTAAAGATTTTCAGTATGATGTAAATGACATGTTGAAAATAATTTTTTTTACGCGTGTTAGGATGATGTCATTAAAAAAAAAAGTTCTACAAACTTCCCAACAATTATATCAGCAATATTTAAAATTATTTTACTACGTTTTTTTAATACAATTTAAATACGTTATTTATGCGTCGAGACTCCTCATCGAAGAATTATCCGAAGCAACCGCATAACTCACTTATCTGCATACTGCTACGTTATCGATTGGGTTTTTCAATGATGCAACTATTCGGCCTTTGAGGCCACGCTAGGAAGTATCTTTTCACAGTGAAGGCGTTTCTTATGCGTCGTCACTCTCCATAAAAAAATCATCTGAAACTACCGTATTTCTTGTTAAGCTCACAAGCTGCTTGACTGATGTCGATTGAGGTTTTCAATGATGCAACTATTCGGCCTTTGAGGCCACGCTAGGAAGTATCTTTTCACAGTGAAGGCGTTCCTTATGCGTCGTCACTCTCCATAAAAAAATTATCTGAAACTACCGTATTTCTTGTTAAGCTCACAAGCTGGTTGACTGATGTCGATTGAGGTTTTCAATGATGCAACTATTCGGCCTCTGAGGCCACACTAGGAAGTATCTTTTCTCAATGAAGGCGTTTCTTATGCGTCATCACTCTCCATAAAAAAATGATCTGAAACTACCGTATTTCTCGTTAAGCTCACAAGCATGCTTGACTGATGTTGATTGAGGTTTTCAATGATGCAACTATTCGGCCTCTGAGGCCACACTAGGAAGTATCTTTTCACAGTGAAGGCGTATCTTATGCGTCGTCACTCTACTTAGAGAAAATATTATAAGTTCGCCATAAGAGCCGCAACTCTTTGAACGAACTATCACAGCGTTACACGCACCAATCAAAACCAAGCCAAAATGGCTTGAATTTTATAAGGGATGTTCTGCTATCAAAGAGGAAAAATCACGGAAATTTTAGAATTTTTCTATCTGGAATATTTCCACCTACAATACCCCAGTAGCTACGGCCGCCTCAAAACTTCAGTATAATTATAGTTTACTCTGAATTTCGGCAACGGTCTTGGACCCTCACTCGTGCAAAATGACCTCCTCCCATGATTTTAAGCATTTAAATCATTCATGCCTTAAGGACTTGGCCTGGAATGACCATGAAACTTGACCATGCCTGGAACTTAAGGCCAGAAGAAAACAGCAGGCGGTCTCAAATTTTTCAGTTTAAAAAACTAACCCTCTTAGACTCCCAGAAAATCTTTCTTCGCCTTGATATCTCGATATTTTAAAGAACGTGGAGGAATTCAACGCTAAAAATTTTAGCCATTCTTCGTGAGTTATAGTTCATAACCGTATCCAAAATTCAAAAAAAAAAAACTATGATTTGCCCCATTAATGTGGGGATATCGTAGCTTTGCTTGAGAATACTTTAGGACTAAAACTCTATTTAGAGAAAAAGCCTTATTCTTCACCCTCGCGAAGCACAATAATCCCTATACACAGTCTATGACGGTTTAGCCCGGTATCGTTTTATACTTTGAAAATCATTTAACTATCGCAAAAACAATAATTGCATGGATGTTTTTAACCACTAAGTCGAATATTATTTGGGGGAGGGGGAGAGGACGGAGTAATCTCTCGATATTTCCGGAGACTTTAACGAACGGCAACAAAAACAAACTAAAATTTCTGAAACCTGTTGTTGACTTTTACTTTTCGTCCTTCTTTCCCCCTCTTCAATCTGTTTTTAGCTGGAAGAGAAAAGGGGGCGTATTTGCCTCCCTCCCCATCCATTAAAACCGACGCAGGCTGGAATAGGGTCTGTCTTCAAAAAATTTCGGTGGCCAGACTTTTTACCCAATTTTGTTTGATCCAAATTTTTACTGTCCATTTTTATAGTTTGTCCAATAGTTTTTTACCGTGCAATGCTCTATGAACCAATAGTTTACTTAGTTCAGTTACAATCGTACAGGTGCTCAGATTTCGCCAAAGAATGGAATGTAACCCTTAGATGCTCAAGCCGGGTCAAACTAACCCGATGATCGCCGAAAACACGTACCGCGACCTTTATGAGGCTGGAACAGTCGAACTTTAGATGTAGGTCTATACAAATACATCTGAAAAAAAGAATAAGGCATCTAATGAAAAAAAGGAGAAAATCAAATATCAACAGATCTGAAGATAGGAGAGACGCTTTTGGGTTTATTTCTTATGACTTTTCTCTCGAATCAGAGCGACAATTCATTGGCAGTATATAGCGGAGCATTTGCGAGTTCACGCATCGTGCCATAGCGCCTTCAATTTTGCAAATGCAACACGGAAATCCATCAAGCACGTATAGTTACATCCCTGCGCCGTCATCAGCGCAATCAGCGCCTTCCCTTGCTCCATTTACCTATTTTATTGGTCCGTTTGTCTTATTTTGTAGTTGTTATTCAAGCGCAACGTTAGTAAAACAGTCGAAGATTGGAGAGATGTAATGGAGCCTTGTTTTTTACCTTTTCTCCCGAATCTAGTCATACCTCATTGACGGCACAGAGCGGAGCATTGCAATTTCAGGCATCCCGCCTTTAATTTTGCAGATACAACATGGACATCCATCGAGCACGACTTTTGGTATATCTGCGCCGTCATCAAAGAGAGTCCTTTCTTACTCTATTTCCGTGTTGTGTCGGTTCCGTTCTGATTTGTAGAGGTGGTTAAAGGGCTAGGTGAGCAACACAGCCAATGTATAACATGGATTAAATTAGTTGGCGAAACTAGGTATTGGGTAAAAAAATTGGGTTAAGTGTCCAGCTACCGAAATCTACCTTGTACCGAAGGGAATGGATGAGACGAATCATATGGTAGGTGGATATTCGTTTTGGATATGCTTGAGCCTGAGTACCTACTTTTTTTCTTTGCACTATCATTCTTTGCACTTGTCTTTAGCGGTCGAGCTGGACAAGCGGACGCGTTGATAACGGCGAGTAGACACAACTATTCGAGCTCGACGGATGCCCGTGTGGCATTCAATAAATTTTTTGACTTCCGGTGCATTAGTTGAGGGCGGAAGCCGGTTGATTGATGGACGTCCGTTACGACAAACAATGGGACGCGCTTGCTACGGCGCCTTGATACAACAATACAACCACGACGGATGTCCGTATTGCGGTCAAAAAATTGAAGGCGTTTTGACTCCCTGCTCTCCGACTGAAGTGCGAAACCACGTATCTCCATTGCGGTGATTCAAAATTTCCGTTCTTATTTCATCTCTTCCATGAGAAACAATCCAAATTTACGACTTAAAATTTTGAACCAAATCTTCTCCTATCGAATACGAAAAATCATGGAGAATTCAAGTTTTATGTTGACCAGCTTCTCGAAAGAATAATATAATTTCTGAGAAAGTCTGCAACGTCGCAAATGGAGAAACGTCGTCTCACATTTTGCCCAAAAACATGTATGTATAAAATTGAAGGCATTGTGACTTTCCTCTCTCAACTTAGATTCGTCTGTAACGATAAACAATGGGACGCGCTTGCTACGGCGCCTTGATACAACTATACAACCTCGACGGATGTCCGTATTGCGGTCAAAAAATTGAAGGCGTTTTGACTCCCTGCTCGTACTACCTGTAGTTGATTCCATCGACGTACGCGTTGGTCGGCGGTGACGGGGACTTGATGCAATTTATTTGAACTTGATGGATGTCCGTATCGCACCGACTGAAGTGCGAAACGACATGTCTCCATTGCGGTGTTTCAAAATTTCCGTTCTTATTTCATCTCTTCCATGACAAACAATTCAAATTTACGACTTAAAATTTTGAACCAAATCTTCTCCTATCGAATACGAAAAATCATGGAGAATTCAAGTTTTATGTTGACCAGCTTCTCGAAAGAATAATATAATTTCTGAGGAAGTCTGCAACGTCGCAAATGGAGAAACGTCGTCTCACATTTTGCCCAAAAACATGTATGTATAAAATTGAAGGCATTGGGTCTTTCCTCTCTCAACTTAGATTCGTCTGTAACGATAAACAATGGGACGCGGTTGCTACGGCGCCTTGATACAACTATACAACCTTGACGGATGTCCGTATTGCGGTCAAAAAATTGAAGGCGTTTTGACTTTCTGCTCGTACTACCTGTAGTTGATTCGATCGACAGACGCGTTGGTCGGCGGTGGCGGGGACTTGATGCAATTTATTTGAACTTGATGGATGTCCGTATCGCACCGACTGAAGTGCGAAACCACGTATCTCCATTGCGGTGTTTCAAAATTTCCGTTCTTATTTCATCTCTTCCATGACAAACAATCCAAATTTACGACTTTCAATTTTGAACCAAATCTTCTGCTATCGAATACGAAAAATCATGGAGAATTCAAGTTTTATGTTGACCAGCTTCTCGAAAGAAAAAAGACTTGATACAATTTATTTGAACTTGATGGATGTCCGTATCGCACCGACTGAAGTGCGAAACCACGTATCTCCATTGCGGTGTTTCAAAATTTCCGTTCTAATTTCAGCTCTTCCATGACAAACAATCCAAATTTACGACTTTCAATTTTGAACCAAATCTTCTGCTATCAAATACGAAAAATCATGGAGAATTCAAGTTATATGTTGACCCGCTTCTCGAAAGAAAAATAAAATTTCTAAGGAAGTCTGCAACGTCGCAAATGGAGAAACGTCGTCTCTCACCTTGCGCATTGATATGTGAAAGGTTGAAGTAATTTTGATTCTTCTCCCTCTGCATATTGTATACGTCTTTACTGCCGTGCTAAGAAAGAAGGCCATAGGAGCCTTCAGGCGTTGCCATATTTCCTGCAATAACAGCATAATTTACTGAGAAAATTACGAATATTTTTCTTCGTTTTTTCCATACAATTTATTTCGGAATTTAATCTAAAATAACTGGATTTTGGAATTTGGAATTTGCTAGGAATATTGTGCATCACTTTTCTCTAAAATACATGTTTTATTTGCGGAAATTTGGCAACTCCCAAATTTTTATACGGTGTCCTTCCTCAGCATGGCAGTGTATAGTGATGTACAGTATGGGACGCGTTGACCACAGCGCCTTGTATTCAACCTTGGTGAATGTCCGTATTGCGTTTAATAAATTGAAGGCGTTTTGATTCTTCTGGGCACTAGCTACAATACGGCCACGCCGCTTGGGGTGCAGCAACAACGAGACCGTAACGACAGTTTCGCGCGATTTTATTTTGTAATTGTGGCTGTATGCTTTGAGATACTAGTGAAAAAGATCGTGGATGTGTAAATTAATGCCATGCGGTTTAAAGACAGATGGAGTGTCATATTACGGAAATTCGTTCACCCCTAGCATGGGGTCTGCTTTCCATGGGGAAAGCACATGAAATCTGCTGCTTTGAAGTAAATAATGTAAGTATCACTTGAATTTATTTTATAGCAATTACTCGGACCAAGGAAATTTCTTGAAAATACTATTTGCTCGAAAAAAGGGTAAATTTTATATCGTACATTCTGTGATGCATTCATACTATTTAGTTTAAGATGAATAAGTAATTTAAAGATATACCCGAACACAAATATTATGAAGAATAAATAGTATATTTCCCCGGATACGTTTCGGCTGATAGCCATCTTCAGCAAGAAAAATCCACAAAATGCATCCGGGAAAATATACAGTTAATTCTTCATAATATGGATGTTTTAGTACATCTTTTAATTAATAATTTACCTTAAATTAGTAAAACACGCAACATGTGATTCTCCAGTTACTAGTTACCTAGTACTTATTTTTATGAACAAAATAGCTCGCATGCGTTTAATGTTAGAGCCTACAGAGCTATAGACAATTTAAAAATTTCCAGATTCCCCTCTCGAATGACACTCAAAATTAAATGCCGTTTATTTTCTTTCATGATGCTTGGGATTACGCATATCGACGGTGAAACTACCAAACCACGTATCTCGTTTGCGGTGTTTAAAAATCTACGCTCACATTTTATTTTTTTGAAGTAGACCAAACCAATATCATTCCTTGAAATTTTCACAGAATTTTCTCCGCGCGAAGAGAAAAAATCACAGAAATTTTCAAGACTGGACGTTAAGTAGTTTTTCATTTAAAAAATAAAGTATGACAGGAAGTCTGCAATGTCGCAAACCGAGATACGTGGTTTGGTAGTTTCACCGTCGATATGGATTGTGCTATTATCTTGGGCAGTGCATTTAAGGAAAGAGAGAATCCTTCGTTAGTTTGAATTTCACATATTCGATTTGCATTTATCTAAACCTCCTATATTCCCTTTTTGTTATATACATAAAAAAATTTGCACTTGTGAGCTTATTTCAAAAACTAATTGAGACTTAACTAAATAAAATAGTTTATATTTCAAAGCTTAACAAACTCACAACAATGATTTTTGAGGAAAAAGTGGGAGAGGCAAGTGTACAAAATTAATTTTTAAAATCAAAATAACTATACTTAGTTATATTTAGGCTTAGTTAGGCTTACCTAGGCTTATGCGTAAGATACCACAACAGAACTTTATAGCAGACTGATCGTCTAACTGAGGATATGGATGCACAGAAAGATTTGAAAAAGAACAACACAAAATGTTTTTGGAGATAGTTTATTAATTTGATTGTACTATGAACAAAAAAAAATAAGCAAAACAGCAAAGACTCCACGATAATTTCTATGATTGAAAAATTTTGATTTACATTGATGTAGAAATTGAAACAAAAATTATTGAATTTTCGGTTTTAGAACCCGAGATGGTTCATAATTTCTGGATTCAAGATGTAGATTCATTGATTGGTACTTACTTATCAACAACAGATAGGTAAGATAATAAATTATTTGTACAAAATTGCTAAAGTTAAATGACAATTATAAAATTAAAATTGGTTAAAATATAAAATAAAAAAGTAGACCCTTAATTGATTAAATTCAGAGGGTGATGGAAGAAAAACTAACAATGCCTGAATTGAAAGAAAACAAAGAAAATAGAAATTAATCAGGCTATCAATTAATTATAGCCTATCCTGCAAACTTTTCAAAAAATGAAAAAAAAACTGAGGAAATAAGTCTTTGGTTCGAATGAACATATATATTGACGGGCACACAGTAAAAAAATGCATACCTCTGACTACAACGTCACAAGCCTCAGCTTACTATTTATCAATTATTTAAAGAAAAATTATCAACAGTTCTTCATAAAATTTTCTGTGAACTCTACTCACTCATTGAAAAACATTTAAAACAAATTTCAAGGAAATATTTTCCTCAGTTTTCTTTTAAAGAAATAAAACCTAGGTGGGTAATGGAAGGTTTCTGAATTTTGCAATTAGGTAAGATCCGCATAGTTCGACTTATGCCATCGATTCGGAGGCATTATAATGAAAACAATTAAAAAAGTATCACCTAACAAATAAATTCAAAGAATGAACAAGTGCAGTCACTTGCACTTTTTGATAAAATTTGGGAATGAAAAAAATTGACAGAGAATTAAAAGAATAACAAATTTATCTGCAGTGTTACATGAATATGGAGCCAAAATCAGTTGGATTAAAGTTGAGTTGATTTAAAAGAGAAACACATCCTTCACTCTCTTCAGAAAAGAGAAAGATAGACGAGAAGAGTGCAAAATAAATTTCCATAAAATTTGAATTTCCGTGACTCGTTACTTCAGACAAAGTCTTATTTTTCTGTTTTGAGTATAATAGTACACTACTTCCTTGAAAAAGTAAAATAGCAATCTAGTGTTGCGTAGTTCGCCATCAAAAGAGGAGGATACCTCTCAGATAGAAGATCGGATTTAATAAATTGGTGATGCAAAATCTAGAATTCAAATGTTTGGAGATAAAACTTACTCCAGTAACTCAATGAATCGGCTGCCTAAAAATATTTGCCCTATACTTTGAAGTTGATTTGTTTTTAGGATTTATTGAATTCACCTAGAATTGCTGAGATTATGACAGATATCGCAACTTAATCGTAAAAATTGTATAGTTTTTTATGAATAAAATTTTAAAACACTTCTCTAACTCGTTCTCTCTATTAAAAGGATTCCACTCAGGAGGTGTTTATTTGCCTCAGTAAAGAAAACTTTTTCTTTTTCTTTGTCTGTTTACTTTCGACCCTTCTAAGGCTCACACTTTCATCTATCAACACAAGTTAAAAATTAAGAGTCTACTTCCAATGTACAATTACACACACGCATACGCATAATTTTAGAGTGCAATGATACATGATTAGGCAATCATAACTTAAACTTTATGTACAATATCCCATTTATTTTTAATTGAACAATAATCCTGTTCAACAATTAATTACAAATTTACACTACAGCCTTACATCAGTTTTACTGTGAGCATGGCTGAGGAAAAACTTAAAAAGTGAGATTCGCACTTTTTTTCCCCAATGCATAGACCAAGGAAAAATAGAAAAGATTTTCCGAAATGACAAAGTTTAGTCAGAATAGATTGAATGGTACATGTCTGGTTCTTCATCAAAAGTCGTCAATGAATCAGATGTCTTTCAACAAAAATTTTGTTGTCTACCAGTATTTCCCATCCACCTCTTGGTACCTACTAAAATTCATTTCCACCAAACATTAAGGTGATAATTTTCCTCTTTGACAAATTGATTTTCTAGGAATGAGATACATACAAGATATTTATTGGGCGGTGGGGATAGTATTTATCTTAAAATTGCAAACTAATTGTGATCAAATTCTTCAAAATTGAGGACATAAGTGACTGAATGAAGTTAGAATTAAAGGACTTCTTTAAACTTTTTTGTGCAGGAATTAATAGCTATTCCTTCACCTCCAGACATGGCAAAATATTTCTAACTAAGTTTAGCTGGTCTCATTTTTGAAGTATTTCCTCATTCAGTCTTGCCTGCCGCATAAAACTACAGATTACTTGTAAACCATGGATTAAAGTTAATCAAAATTTACAGTTCTTACATATTTTTACATTATTTAATAATTAGGTATATACCCGCCCCACTCAAGCTGCAACTAGATTTTTTAATAGAGAGAAAGGTCATCTACTTTATCCTTTCTATCTATCCCTTGTAAGTTTCACTGGGTATTTAAATACTTAGGTAGCTAGTAGGGCACATAGTAATTCCTATAATAATTACAAACACCGACTAAGTATTACAGAGTAGAATATTAGTGTGCGCACATTTCATCTACACACACCGACAGGAGGTAGGTATATCCGTTGAGGTATTGTAACAGGTATCTCCATCCAAAATTTTTTTTTCAGTATTATGTTTGGGCAATGATTAATTTTATTTTCTAATAATTTTTGTTCTCTAGGACAATGTATTCAATGCGAATTAAGAATGAGTTAGCTGCAGCTACTTCTTTGTGAAGAGCATTCTTTATCAGCATGGATTATTTTAGGATAAAATATAAAGTGAGTATAGCATTGGGAATGGGTGCTTTCTTCAACTTATTTGAAGAACGGAGATCGCATAAAGGTTGCATTCAGGTATTCAACGATATCAAGTGACACATTTTTTTAAAAGACTATTCATATTTGTAGTTTTGAGAGAAAAAAGAGTTTTAAAATAACACAAATTTACTGTGGAGTTGCCTGTACATAAGATCAAAAAGAAAATTAGTCTGTCATTACCAATGGTATTTGGAGGGGAAAAAACTTACATTAACAATGACTGAGGACGATACATCAAAAAAATATCCAAGTCTGCATGTTCTCCTATATTTTAAAAATATATATATGGTCGAAACATGTACTACAAAAATATGGATTCTGATATTTTCATCATTGTCTTGATTTCTGAAAAATGTTCTTATTCCAAAGGTGAAAGCAGCTTGAAAGGAATAGCTGCTAGAGACCTCAATGTCAACTGAGTATCAGCAAAAGAGAAGAAAAGGCAATATTATGACTTGCTAAAAATTATCAAAATGAAAAATTAAAGCAGAAAAATCCACTATTGGTCCACATATTTGAAAATTATAAAAGAGCAATTTGTGGAAAGGCGAAGGTTGAACAAGTTACTGACAAAATACATCAGTCTGTAGAGACTAAATACAGATACAGTAAAATTGTGGGTATCACTGGGTGCAATCGAATGACTAATTTATGTAATAAAATAATTCAGTAAGTCAAGTGAGTGAAGATTTCCTTTCGGTTTTCCTAATTACTTGAAGTATTGAGATGTATGAAATAAGCTATTAGGAAGGCACTTTTCTGATTTCTTTGCAAAATATATTCAAAACAACATACATAGAGGATTAAATGACTTGCCTTAAATAAGAATAACATGAAGATGGACAAAAACTTATTTTTTTCTGAAAAGGCAATGCAAGAAAATAGACATTTCTTACATCTTCTCTTGGTGAAGCCACAAATGAATCAACAATCATTTGGAAAGTTAAAAATAATTAAAAATTGAAAAACTTGATCTAGGAAGCTCATGACTAAAAAAAGTTGGAAAAAAAATGGACCATGGAGAATAAACAAAAGAATAATGCGTTTAAATTAGCTTGGTACGTGCAGATACTGAAAAGAGGTATATATACCTGGTTAAGTTAGGAATTTTTACAAAAATAGTTTACTCCTAAAATAAAGAGATAAATTTCTAAAACTGATTGGGGAGCTATCACATAAGAGGCAAAATAAAGACCTAAGAATAAATTCAGGAATTGAGACATCAAATAATTTTGAAATTTTCCCATAGAAAAAAAAAAACCCTCCATTTAACAAATTATTTTATGTTGCAGAGATTTGTTTAGATCAGAGGCAAAGCAAATTAAAATTGATCTCTACAGACAACGCTTAGGCATTCTGATCATCTCCGCGATTAACTAACATTCATCCAAAAATCAGTCTCTTTTCATAAGTTTAGCTGTGGTTCAAATTACAGACTCAATAATTAAAATAGATGCCAGGCACTAATAATAATTTCCCCTTTTCTTCTGAGATAATGTACCTTACAAAAGTTGTTGAATAAATGGCAACCCCATGGAGATGGAGAGATGCAGTAAAAATAAATTAAAAAATAATTCTTAATTGTTAAAAAAAATTCAAAACAGATAAGCAATTGCCTATTGCCAATTAAGAGAATTTAAATGGTTTTTCCATCCCACATTGTGGTGATACATACTCCTACTAGAGAATTTGTTCCAAATGAAGAGAAGTCACAAGAAATTCCTATTCAATGCTCATTTTACCCTTGATCTGTCTTCGCTTGGAATTTATATTGATGAAGCAAAGACGAAAATTGATAAAGATTCCCTACAAATGCAGATGTTACCAGTTTCAATTGGTTTACGACCCTTACAGCTTTACTTTTTAAAGAAATTAGAAAACATTTTCAAAACTTGTAAAAACATTTCAAATACAAAACACTTAAAAAGCCCTTAAAATATCTGAGTTGGAAAACCCTTAATTTTAGTTTTTGACGTCACACATTTTGCATATTTTGTGTTTTATATTACCTATAATGTAAGTGATTTTTGAAATTTAATAAAATTTACTGTGGCAGGTGGGAATTGCAAAGCGCACTAGAGGACGCTGTAAAAAAGGCAAAATGCATTTGTACAAAACTTTGATGCCAAAATTTTTTCTTAACATTTTCCAACTGTCGCCTAAATTTTTCTTAAAAAGAAAAAAAAGGGTCTTTTAACTCCTATACATTTTAATGATACGCTTTTTAAGGTCCGAATTGAACAGTTGATGCTTAGCCTGCTCTAAGGGGTAGGTGTGCACAGGCAGTATACCTATGACATCTTTATCATATTACGCCAGTTTTATCTCTTTGTAAAAGGAGAAACAAGTTATTTAAAATAATACTTACATATATACACATACAAGTGAACAGATATTAAAATACAAATTATAAATCAGAAGCTCAATCACTAGTGAAACTAAAACATTTTTGGTAGGTATATTTACAATGTGTTTCGTTAAAACTGAACTGCTTGGATAATTTTTAACGCTTACCTAAACTTTGAAGCCTACTGAATTTTGTTCCAAATCAATAATGTCACCATGATAGTCTTGAATAAATGGGTGATTACGCATTTTCATTGTATGTACTTCTTATTAGATTTTTTAATTTTTTTTTAGATTTTTTATGGTATTTCTTTACATTTACCATTGAGGTAATAAAATTCAAATTAGCTCAGCTGCTTGTTCCTTTTGAACCAAAGAGTGAAAAAATGTTAAACAGAGATCACCTGATCCTTGATGATAATTGGGGGATTTAAGAAGCATGAGTGATGAGTGAATACACTGTGAGTGTATTAGTTAGATATACTACTTGAGACCTTGAACTTTTGGTTCTCACCAGGCCAATAAACAATGAGTAATTTTTAATTCGAACTTCCCATTAAAGGAGTTCACAATCTGATACTGCTATAATTAAGATGAGCAATAGGCTAGGAGAGGACAAATTTATCAGTCGATTAGCATATTAAGTACATTCCAAAAAATCTGCTCAGTCGGGTGGGAAACAAGAAATCACAAATCACAAGAGTACCTAGTTACAATTTTCGGATGAAGTTTACGAGAAGACAGTTTTCCAAAAAAAACAAAAACTTTTTTCTGCCTCTAATTGAGAATTGACATCTGCAATTTTTATAAACTGTAGGGCACTGAATACATAAAAAAGCAGTCTCGACTATCTCAAAGGACTTTCGAGATCATTTGTGTTATCAAAAATCCACCAGTTCAAATTTTAACATCATAAATAACAAGAAAAATGTAAACATAGGAGATAGAACTGAATCGACACAGACCATTGAAAAACTAAATAACTGAATTGTGCGTGAAGCACTACAGGAAAAGTTGACAGCGATGACAGCTATTGGTCAGGATTCACCTTGGTAAACTAGAGCTTGTAACGGTTTCAGCAAAATTTGCTACTGTAGCTAAATCTGGAAAAACAGATAAAGATTGATATTATTTTTTTAGAATAGGTGAGCAAAGCCTACACAATGGCACTGGCATCTGAGAAAAAGTGGTTGCGACAAACGTTTGGGTCAAAATAAACATTGCAGCGATGTTTTCACAAAATTTTAAAAACATCATTTGGTGCAGTGCTGAGTGGGACAAGACAAAAAATTGATGAAAATCATAGCTGGTTTTTGCAAAAAAGGATGAGATGATGAGAGAGACCGTAGCTCATTATAAACCGCATTTATGATCAAAATTCAAATGGGTAAAAAATCAATTTTCACTCGGGATTCTCCTAAATTTTAGTTGTTTTTCAAAGGCCAATCTTGGTTGTTCCAGTGTTCAGATGCCCCAAAATTTAATTTTACCAAATTCCAGAGAGACATTTTATTCAATTTCTCATAACAATTTAATAAACCATCCCACTTGATTTTTAAAAATATTTACTAACTTTAATCTGAATTCTTAGAGAATTCCTCAAGGAACTGTGATTTTTATCCTCACATTCGAGAGAATGTAATCATTTCAACTTCAGAGGTCAAGGAGAAATGTGAATGTCTGCCCTCTTGGCTATGCAGTAGTATCAGCCATCCATGGTAGATGCTTTTCAATCCATTGGTTTAATTGTATTGTAGCAAAGCATGAGACTGCAACAAGCGTTTACTTCCAAAATTTTTCAGTGTGATTTTTCTGCAGCTTTTTTGCTCATTTGACATTTAGGAAGGATTTTTGACTTCCGATAAATTATTTAGAACTATCAGTCTGCAGAGACCAATTTCTAAGGTTCCCTGACTGCTAGTTGCCAAGAAATTTTTGGACTAATCATCAAAATTCATTGTTTCCTGGCTAAAAGAACGTAACTGCATTTCAATATTGCAAAATTTCCACTTGCAAACGAAATTCTAATTAAAAAACTGTTGCACATTTTGAAATGAAAATTTTACCGATTTTTCCTCTGGTTGCACACAATAATCAGCAACATTTGCGACAGCCACTGCACAAACATACCTATTTCTGTGAAGAATAGGATTATGTACTTATATGAATCAATTTTACAACCTTGGAGTGGAGTTACATTCCTTCATCTAAGAGATGACACATTACACACTGATCTGTTCTACTTACCTTGTCTAACAGTTCCACCATCCCAGTTCCTCCCCCCCCCTCCACTTTCATACCGCTAGATAATTGTGAAAACTATTGAATAGTGGTCTCAAAAACGGTTCAAAGTTTCGAACTTTTGGTAGACATCTATGATTACTTAGTAGGTATTCATTCCGACAAAAAACCATCCATACATTTTCCAAGTTTTCACAGAATACCTCTCTTATCAAGATGCAGAAAAAATTATGCCCAATTCCAAATAATAAGTCAGCTCTTAAGACATCTTCGCCGATGCCGCTAAAAACGATGAAAATTGTGAACTTACCATTGGAAACAGGGACTAGCAGCAGAGAGAAGCCACTACGGTAACAAGCAATACTAGGGCTGATATTGTTGACCGGACACCTGCTCCAGTTCCATCCTTGGATTCTGCAAATTGAAAAATTGGAAAATCAAAGCAAACTTTAATTTGGTATGAGCAATTTTGTCTTTAACTGTGAGGTACCTACTTAGCATTAACTTAGCTCGAATTGTAAGCATGGCTCGCAATAAAATGCGAGTACACTACATGGTAAAATTTTTGTTATTGCAACAGAGTGTTTTGCATGCTGCGTATTCACTAATTGAAGGGGCTTTTCTCTGCCCATCTGCTTGCTAGCCTTGTAGCAGCTGCCGAAATTCTCTTCGAGAGGTAATTATTAGCAAGTCAGTAGTGCCTCATTATCTCTCCAGAAAACCGGAGGACCATGAAAGGAATGAGCCGATAATTGAGGAATTGTGCTACAAGTGATAGAGATGGTTACTTCCTCTGTGTAAGAAATCGTTTGCGATGTAGTAACTACAAAATGTCGGATAATGTAAGGCAAGGGTGATAAATCGTTCCTTGTGCACTATGGAGTTACAGGGAATGTAGTTCGTTTTTTGAAGAATGTGGCCCACATTGGGAAAGTAAAGAAACCTTTTCAAATCCCATCCACATTCTTGCAGAATATTCGTAAGGCTATATATACTACTTTGATTACCGCTAAAAAAATACTCACTAATATTTTCCAAAACATCCGGTGATGCTGAATCTGATTGAACTGCAAAACAAAGAAAATATATATCAGACAAAAATATTTTTTCAAATACAAAATATACATTTGTGCACATAGGATTCCATATCAGATAGGAGTGTCTGTAAGAGTACTTGCTCTTCAAATGTAATTTTAAAAAGTAATCATGATAATATTTCTCTTAGAGATCTGAGGTTGATACCCTCTTATCAAGAAAGTGTAAGTTTTACAATTGATGCAAGGCATTAAATAAACAGATTTAGAGCAAGGGAAAAGTTTTAATGGTGATAATTTTAGGCACCTGTCACTGAACAGTAGGAGTTAATTTGTTAGAGATTTAACTGAGCCTCTGAGCTCTTAAGGAAAAGAGAAAATTCTAAAAAAGAAAAATGAAGGGGGAAAGAATCCTGGGTCTGAAAATTATTTTTTTTTTTCTTTTTTTTTTGTAGATATACATAGAAATAAGTTTTTAAAGGAATGAGTATTATTTCTTTATCAATATTAGTAGAACTAGGATAACCTGTCTCTATCGTTATTCGAAATTTTTATTCTCAATTATTTCTTCAGACAAAACCAAACCCGACTTTATGATTCGAAGTTTTAAAGGGTACCTATTCTTTAGATTCAGAAAAAAAATTTAGAAAATTTTTAAGGAGTAGTGTTTTTCAATTTCCATTTGATAAAATGAAGTATGAAAAGAAATCAGTGACATTGCACACTTGGAGAAATGTTATTTTTCAATTTTTGAATAATATGTGCAGGGGAGGGGGGGGGGGGGACCAACATCACTTTTTGGCAGAAGTTTCTGCCAGAAATTCAGCAGTTTTTTATCCACCAAAAATACATATTTTAAAAATATTTTGCCTGCCCCATACTTTTTTCAAAGCATAAAAATAAAAATGGGTTTGAAGCCCATTTGGTGCACAAAATAATGAGAGAGAGAAAACAAAATTAACTCAGCACATTTATGTTGGTGAGAGCATGCAAGAGAAAGAAACAAGTCAGAGCTCATAGCAGAAAAATCAGTGCAGTCGCTGCAGATATTTAAAAGAAACCGTTGCTTTAATTGCTTTGCAGAAGTGTTAGAACAGAATTCACCACCATGTCATAGGAAGGCTATCTAATGAACATATGTTGCAGTAATTGGCACTATACTTACGATTTTTACCTGAAAATTTTATCTTAAAAAAAAAGAAGCTAAAGATAATGAAACCACAATATTAACAGAAAATTTAACATAGTTTACAAGGATACCGGAGAAGGAGGAGAACAAAAGGAGAATCAGGGACACGAGGATGAGGATCCTTCACCAATAAAAATGTACCGTACCAAAACATTTTTCAACCAAAAAAGTTATGAAAAATCAAATACTTTGATCAAATCTATCTTTTACAAAAATTTACTCAAATATTAAAACACTATAAAAAAATATAAAAAAAAAGAGGTGGGTACTGATATAAAATTCAAATGAGTAAAAATACAAACAATGAATGAATGGGTGGGTAAACAAGAAAGAACAAAACTCTAGAGGATTTAGACGTGTTTGTAGAACGAGAAATAAAGGTACCTATTAAACACAAGAGAGAGGAATAAGTAAGATGATTAAAAACATGACAACAAAAGACAAAGTGGGTATGCATCCCCTGGTTCTAATAACTAGGATGCATACTTCCCTTAAATAGAGTTAATTTTAATAAATATTTTTTATTAGATATTTTACTGGTTTACTCCTTAATACGATGAAAAGTTTGCTTAGCTGTAATTTTTACCAGCAGGTTTAAATTTACATGAGGTATTCCACCTATTTCTGGAAATCCGCTAAATTTTTCATTAAAAATAAATGTTGGTAGTAAAAATGTATTGGAGTTAGGTCTAGGGTTCCCAAAAATTATCCCAGCACAGATTGCAATAAAATGCAATTACATGGTAAAATTATGGCTACTGCGTGTTGTGGATGTTGCCTATCTACCAATTGAAGGCACACACTTCATTGACAATTTTCTATTGCAATCACCATGCATCGAAAGCAAGGCACATGGGGAACAGCTCTGTCCATGAGGTTATTTTTTTGGTGAATTTGTACAAACGATGAGCTTTCAGTTTACAAGTTTCATGATTCAAAAATACTTCGAAATATTCAACCAACTTCCCCAATAACTAACAAAATTAGAACATGAAAATTGAATGGAGAAGTAACCATCCTATCATATTAGAACACCCCATATTTCCTACATTCTTCCTACATTTTAGAAGTTTTTACTTGGGTACAGGCTTTTTAGCGTCCTTGTTACTGGGTTTAGAAAACGAAAGTCAAAAATAGAAACTAATAAATATATACATTAGCTTCTGGTAAAAATTGGGGCTGGAAAGTTGAGGAGCTGATCAGAAGGTCAAAATAAAGATATGAACTAGGTACATATGTTAAAATTCAGCCGCCGATAGAATACAGGTTGAATGCAAACTTCACAACTGCAAGTTAAAAATGTGAAAAATGTCAAGAAAAGTAAAAAGAATTCTGCACTAGCAAGTTTTCAAAAAGCATTGCGATGGCAAAACTCCCAAACCACGAATCTCAGTTTGCGACATAGCAGACTGCCTGTCATACTTTATTTTTTAAATGGAGAACTTCTCAATGTTAATTCCTAAAAACTTCCATGAGTTTTCTCCCCTGTGCAAAGTAAATTCTGCAAAAATACCAAAGAAAATTTTTGATCCATTCTCCTTCAAAAAAAGTAGACAGAAGTACCTAGTGATTTTTAAGCACCGTAAATGAGATACATCGTTTGGGTATTTCACCATTGATTGCCGCTATTTTTAATAGCAAATCAGTTGCAATATCCAACTTGGATTATAGTCAAAGATATTTGGACACCTGCAGTAAGGAGGGAAATATAACAGCTATCACTCTGGTGCCATGTAGGTATTGAGTTGTAGCGGCTACTTTGTACAGCTTTTAGTAGATCAGAGAAAAATAACACTGAAACTTAATCTTCAAAATGTATCAAATGAAAAAAGGCTGTAAAATTTTCCACTTTATGTTGCGTCTGCTATTGAAAAAAAAAAAAATTACCTCCAGCAAAGTAGTGTTTCTCGGAGAACTTGGACCAACCATATGTATTCATTGCCCTCAGAACAACTTCATACTTTGTATTTTCTACATCTGCAATTGCATGTTCTAGCTCATAAATATTACCACTGACAGCATTCTGGACTGGCAATCGAACTGTGTGGAACTTTTCTGGGTTCTAAAATAAAAAAAGAAAGATAGAAAAATGTAATGAAAAATGTGTGTAAAAATATGTTTCCTATTAGATCTCATACTGTGTTGGCCAAAGTGCAAAATCACAAACCTCCATTGCAGTGTTGCAAAGTTTTTGCTCCTACTTTATTTTTTCAAAGAGAAACAAGCCAACTTTATAGCTTGAAATTTACACAGGATAAACTGTTGACAGAGAAAAAACAAGGAAGTTTTCGAGGAACTTCATTGAGCAGTTTTTCAAGGGAGAAATGAGGGGGCTTGGAGGACAAGGCTTGCAGGTGCAGTTTTTGCTATTTCAAGAAAAACATGTTTTCAGTTTAAAAATTACATGGAGCCTTATGGTGGAAAGAAAGTTTAAACTCAGATTAACTCATTTTTTTTATGTTTTAAAGTTTGATTTTAGATGTGAATTTTTCACAGAATATACTTTCGAACTACTTTTGGTTGAGTTCATAAATATCCCAGTTTTTTTTTTTAAAAAACTGCCATTATGCACCTTGTCCTCCAAGCTCCTTAAACACAGCAGTATGACAGAAGGTCTGCAATTTCGCAAACAAAGGTACATGGTTTCACACTTTGGCCTTTGATTTGTGGCTGTTCAAAAATAACTTATGGAGGGCTGGCTTGCTAAGTTTTTGCCCCAAAAGTTTGATAGTGCATTAATAAGTTAAAGTGGTTGAAGAAGTACATTACCTATAATAATGTGCCTAACATAAATACTGTGTAAAATTTGTTTAGAGAACATACCTAATTATACTCCATGAATGGAAAACGTCTGATTTATAATGATATAATTTTAAAATTGGCCAAAATGGTAAAAAAGATGAAAATCTTTTGCACCCAATGGTTTCTTTCTGAATCATATATCATGAATGCACAGCTTGTCGTCTCTTGCGATGAAATATAATATCTTGTTTGAGTTGATGCAGTATACTTATGTTTTATTGAAATTTTATTTTTTTGTAGGAGAACTGTTACCTACAGGAATTTATTAGAAATTTCCAGTGATTATTCCAGGGCCGGATTAAGGGGGTGGCCACATGGGCCGCGGCCCATGGCGGCGAATTTTGCAATTTTTTTTTAAATGTAGGTATAAAAATAAAATTTCAAACGGGAAAAGGCGACAAAATCTTGCATTTCCTGTGAGTATTGTAATTTCTAATTTTGTCGTTTTGTTGCGATACAAAAGACAGCACCTTTAATTAGTCGAGTTATGAGAGAAACCAAACACGCAATTTGGCCAGAACGCTCATTTATGAACATTCTTGGCCGTTTTGGTCTGACATTGTAATCTGAATTTTGTCGATGACATTTTTGTGTCAGAGGGTTGGCTGCCCTTTCATTGGTCTAGTTGAGAGAGAAACCGGACACGTAATTTGCCCTGGAGCGGCGCGGCGCAGAGAGCAATGGTGACGAGGACTTGAGATGAAAAGGAGAGGCTCTCGGTGCGGCGCGGCGGTCGACATGTAACACATATTAGCGCCTACAAGACTGCATGAATACTTCACGCACGGCGTCAAACACAGTACGGTCAGCAGCGCAGCGGTCGCCGTGTAACGCATAGCGCCTTCAAGACTGCATGAATACTTCACGCATTGCGTCAAACACAGTGCGTTCAGCAGCGGTCGGCGTGAAAGGCATAGCTCCTACAAGAGAGTAGGAATACTTCACGCACTGCGCCAAACAAAAAGCGATCAGCACGGCACGGCACGGCGGTGGAAGTTAACATTATTGAACCACATTTATGATTGTTCTTTCATAATTTTTTCGTTCATTTCTTATTAATGGAAGGCACCGTCCACACAGAGACAGGTTTACGGAACTTAACTTTCGCGCCAAGTTCCGTGAACTTTTGCCAGTAGTATTGACAGGGCTTCCGCAAAAAATGTATCCAACACGAGTAAACGCGTCTTATGCATCCCTCTCCCTCCGGCACGTTCACTTGACGGTTTTTATTGATGTTTCAAAACGAATGAGATGGGGGCGGCAAAATACAGGCGGCCCATGGGCGGCAAGTAGGTAAATCCGGCCCTGGATTATTCTTTACCTACATTTTTGAAGAAAGATAGTAAAATTTTCAGATGAATCCGTTCAATGGTTCACTCACAATAAAATAAAATGTACTTAGAAATACCACTGCATTGCAGACAAGATAGGTAAGTTTCTTCGTGCAAGAGACAACGAATTATTTCCTACTTCGAAGTACCTAAAATGTTCTTCTTTCTTGCCAGCCTTTAAATAAAACTCGCTACATCTTGTCTTGATTTCAAAAATGAATTTATATTCCTGAAAAATTTCTCTGTGGAGGAGATGTGTGTTATGAACATTAAAGGTTTATTGTGGTCTTACTGTGCATTCACTGCTACTTACTGTGCTTTTCCAGTATTTCAACTCATACTCTAGAATGGGAGAGCTACTGACGATCTTCCACTTGAAGTTGGACCATGGGTTCTTAGTTGAATTGGTTACTTGCTGAATTACTGGTGCCAGAGGAGTTCCTAAAGTATGAAAATTACACATTAGAACTCACATAATGCACCAATTGGAAAATTGTTTTTCTACTAAATATTGAGGACTAAATTTTGGTGAAGCTTCATTCCACAACTACTATTGTAAAATCAATTAACTTGGTTAAAAAAGCCATACTAACTAGCTGAATATTAACTAGAGAGTGGGTAAGATAAAGTTTGCTTCAGAAGAGATGGACCCAACGGTTGTAAAAATCAAAATACATTTTTAGAGGCTCACGCATTTTCATTTTATCCTGATTCAAAGCAACAAGTGTAGAAAGTCTTTCATGGATTAAATCAGTCAAGAAACAAGTAACTTCCTTCATACAGATAGAAGTATTCTTCTCATTTAAGAGCCTGTTACCTCTATGGAGATAAGGAAATATGAATGATTGAAACAGGTTTTTCTTCTTATTCTCTGATGGATATTGTCGAGCACGGTGAAACAAATATTAGATACCAACGAACAGGTTGTAATTTAGAATAGCATAGAAGTATCCATGTATCAATGACTTACATCCAAAAAACCGTTGTTTGCTGTTCAAAGAAAGTTATGTGCCTTGAATGCTTAATAACAATGAGAAAATATATGAGAGGCAAATAATGAGTGCTTTAAGATTATCGCAGGTTTTGAATTCTACTTCCTTTGAATTAATTAATTTTGAAAAAATTAATATTTTTAAGTTAGGTACTCTCTTCCTCTTTACATGAAAAGGCCACCTCTTCTGATACAATCTTTAGAAATTGTGAAAATTAGTTATTGTCATTCAAAAAAAGCCATTCACCAATTAAACAGAATAAGAAAGAGTTTTCCCAACTGCTTATGACTATTCGGATGGAGACATTTGGTAGAGCAGCCTCGAAAATAAATAAAATTGCAGGGTTAAGAATTTTACTCAAAAAGTATATAAGTACTTACACTTGGCCTTATAAAATTTAGGTAGAATATCTCTCTCTGACAAGATGATTTTCGGAGAATTTATTTTTTATTTTCGATTATTTCAAAGAAGTTACCTCAACCGTGCTCCTTTTCTTAGTTAGGCTTTCGAGTGCCCACATATTGATTACGACACTTGTACTCAGATAATTAAAAAATAAAAATTTAGATATTAAGAAACCCACGATAACAGCGAGGCTTTACCCATTGTTTCATTTTTCAAGTGACACAGATCACAATGCAATACAACTGCATCGTAAAATAATCACTACCACATCAACGTGTCGTGTATGTTGCCTATCTACTGATTGAAGGGGCACTTCTTACTTAGACATATTGCGAATAAATAGAGATAAGTTGCCTTTTCTTTCCCATTAAAACGGTCCATTTTTCTGATATATGGAATCTTCCTAATGATGGTCGGCACTTACAGAACAAACTATGAAAAACTTGCAATTTCATGTTAAAAAAATTGTAATTTTATTGCATTAAATCGCAATTGAATTTCAATGCTTCCATTGCAGCAATTTGCAACTTGGGTCAAGTATACGGTTTCCCTGTACGTAAATAATTTCTCCTAGGAAAATAGTAAAGGCTCCAAGTTAGGCATGATAAGTAACAGAAGGCATTTTCCCCCTCTTCTTTCTTTTAAATGATTCTGGGACAGTCTCCGACAAAAAATAATATGAAAAAAATGGCAGAAAAAAATAAATAAGTTAGAAATGTATTAATTCTTCTCCTCACCAAAAACTTCAATTTTCCTCTGAGTTTCACCATATTCATTCGTCGCGACGCAAGAATAATTTCCAAAGTCTGATGAGTCATTAATGTCAACCGTCAAAATGTGTTGATTTCCTGAATTCGATAATTTATATCGAGAACCGTCATCAATGACCTCAGTCACCTTACCATTCATTTCTTTGAACCATGTCACCTACGGAAATAATTTGATTTTACAGAGGCGAAAATTTGAGAAATACTTAAATTTTAGTTAGGTAAAAACAAATCCATTAACATTTTAAACCTAAGTATTTGCTTGAAAAAAATTCAAGTGGATAGGGAGAGGAATTAGGAGAAGTAGCAAAGTGTATCCAATCTTGAATTGCTCTATTTGACTGGTCACTCGTAAATTAATGTCGTTGCAGCACATTTTGTGTGATGCATTTAATTTATTTTTCTTGTGATAAAAAAATGCGAACTCTGCGACGGTTACTCTTAAGAATGATAGAAGTTGTCATAATTATGTGAAAAAGATGCGATGACATTTTATTACTTTAAAAAGCATTAAACAGTGAGACACCTGGCCCCAAATTTCGTCTTATTTCATACACAGTACCTAATGCGATATCCATCGACTAGTCCAAACCGCATCAGCGGCAAAATAAAGGCGCTAAGACAGATTTAAGCGCAGTCGTTACTTATCCTGAGAATATTTAAGTAACGAGGGAAGGACCGACATAATTCGGCCCCTAGTCTTTCTGGCTACTTTGATGTAACTTTTGACTGAGGAACTCCACAATACTGCCGTGCTAAGGAAGAACGCCGTATGAAAATTCGAAATTTGCCAAATTTCCTTCACTAAAATTTTTATTTTTGAGAAAATTTATGAATATTTCTCCCTGAAATTTTCAGGAACTATGGTTGAAATTGAGAACAAAATTATCTGAAAAATTGGAATAAAAATTTTCATAATTTCACCGGGAAAGTCGTGTTTTATCGAGGGAAATTTGGCAACGCCTGAAGGTTCATACGGCGTTCTTCCTTAGCACGGCAGAATACGGCTCCGTCTCCAGCAGGGCCACGTAAAGGAGGCTTTTCGTCTCGTGATGATATTCTTGAAATTTTCTTGCAATCGAAATCATTTGCTGCTGTTATTAATTTTTTCTTCTTCTTTTTTTATATTACAGGATCTACATCTTACATCTATGTTTACGGGAATAAATTTGTGTTTCTTTTCTCTTTATAACATCGCACATCCAGTAGGAGTAGGATTCAACTGATCGATTTAAAAGCATTAAAATATTGGCAGTATCCAAACCAAATATTACTTTTGGAGTAGGATGTCCATGAACAGTACATATGAGCTCTGCGTCAGTATTTTCGGCGGTGTTTATGATGTCTTTTTTGGCCGCAATTTCAGGAGCAACTGAAAGAGAAATAATAAGAGATTCTAAATTGCTCTCAGTTTAAATAATTGTTGTTGTTTAGATTTTAGCGTCAGGTATCATGGAT